TCTGTCCGCTTATTGATGATGAAAATTAGGCAATGAGCGCGCGAGAATTTCTGCAGTTATCGTACAAAATCATTTCAATAGAAAATAATTACAACATGTAAATATTTCCCCTTAAAATTTCGCTTAAAAATGGAGGCCCTGGAAACGTTTTGCACAAAATGAAAACGGAAACAAATTTATCATGACTCTTCCCCGTCTATCCCTTATTAGTATAAAGCTACTAGCGTTCTATCAGGAATGCCGTTCTCTGATTGGCTACGCTACTATCTATTTAACAATCAGATTAAGAGCTCGAGATTTTCTATGAGATGATAGTTGATGAGGCCTTCGGCCTCATCAACTATCGCCTCATGGAAATCGAGAGCGAATAATCTAATTGTTTTAGCAGAATTCTTACTAAAATTTACTTCAAATAACGGTTTTCAATTATCTCTCGACGTATTATTAAACTTTGCGCCTTAAGAAGATCGCTCGGTTCGAATTGTCATTTAAATTTGAAGTTGTGTACGCGCGCGCATCATTTGTTTTTTCAATAGTTTCAACTTTTTTTTAAGTCAAGAAACCGTAAATGTCCTTCGTTTAGTCTTCTCAGGAATGTAATTATCCATTTGCATTAAACGTTTTCCTCCAAAACTTTGGAAAAACGAAACAAACGTCGCCATTTCGTAGACGACCTCCAGTAGTATATCTGTCGAAGGCTGTATTACTCGACACGTATTTTTCTCACCTACGTTCTCGGAGACGCTGCATCGGACAATTTCAAAATACAGTTGAACTCCCTTATTTCGAACTCACAGTAACTGACAGTAATAATAATAATAATGATAATGATAATGATAATGATAATGATAATGATAATGGTAATGGTAATGATAATGATAATGATAATAATAATAATCGTATCTATAACAAAATTCTCGATCGCGATTGGTTTTCCGCGCGCCTATTTGTCACGTAATCGGCGCCCGATCACGTGGGTGCCCAATTACAGGTGCCCAATTTGAACTTTTCGTAATTGATACCTACGCGATTCGCACGTCAATTATATTCACTTTGATGGCTTCCTTCGCACTGTTTCCTACAGTTTTCAAAACTTATGAAAAGCGAAACAGACGTTTTCGCTAAAAGAAGTTCTCAAAAGACAATTTTAATTCCGAAATTTGTCATAGATACGATTAGTTAGTAATTGGACCTTGTGTCGTACAATTAATAATGATAATAGGACTGAGTGGAGTCCAATTTGGTCTGTAATCATACGAGTGATTAACAAAATCGGACGACCGCGAAACGGGAGTCCGATTTGTTAATCACGAGTAGAGACTGAATTGGACGACGCGAAGCCCTGTTACAAATTAATCAAAACTATGACAAAATTCGAGAAACGAACAAACCATCGATTGAGCGATGAAAGATTAAACGTCGTTATGAATGCTGAAAAACACAGCAGTTTACTCAACAAAGTGCAATGCAACAGCGTACGCAAAATGACGCGTACTGTCCAATTGCAAGCATGACGCGTACACTGTTCAGTTAATGCTCAAATCGGACTGCTGATAGCCAATCACGTTCGAGAACTTTGTCATAGTTTTGATTAAGGGAGTAATCGTGCTCGTATTTTCAAATCGGCCTCGCGCTTCGCGCTCGTCTGATTTTGAAATTACTCGCGCGATTTCTCCCTGAATTGTACTCCACTCCTTCCAATTACTATTACTAATAATGATAACAGTAATAATAATAATAATAATAATAATAATAATGATGATGATGATGATGATGATGATGACTGAATAACTTCTAGAGCGCTATTTACATTTACTGATCAACAGCACTTTACAATAAAATTCAAATTTGTAAAGTATATGATCAGAATGAAAGGCAAATCAAAGGGAAATGGTTTTGAGTTCGAAATAACGGGGACTGATTTGAAATGACCCGAGATCGAATTATCGGGTTTCAACTGTATTTATGCGGCTTGGTCACTTATTTGCTATATCCATAAATTTATGCCGTAGGCGTGAATAGAGTGCAAGACTTACAACAGACTTGACTTCCAAAGACTGGCCTAAACCTAGACTTATAATAGACCATATGAAACTTACTTATTTTGTGCTATTTTATTGTAACAACAAGATCAAAAAATTCGATCACAAATACGATTACATACGATAAATTTGGTGTATTTAAGTAAGATTGGGCAGAATTACCGGAAGTATAGGAGCGAAACTAAAAACTACAGTAGCTCACCCCAAATGGATAAAAATTGAAGGGACTGGTTTTCAGCAAGAGAAACTTTGTTCTAAAAAAGAAGCGGAACAACCCTTGTGTTTACATAATACTGCAGTCGCACTCTGACAAGGCTCCAGCAGCAACACTCACAACACTGGCAATCGGTTCTGCATACGGTGCTGACGGAGGATGACAAGCAGCTATAGCTTTACCAGCCATTGGCGCCACTTTAGCTAGGACTTTAAACCCTTGCTTCATGTAACTTGATTTCTCTACAGCTTGTTGCTCCTTTTCAGTCTCTGCAATTTTTTGTTGTAGACCACCTACCATTTGTGCTCTTGAATTCATCAGTTGCGGCAATTCCTCCAACTTTGCAGCGCGCTCCTTGTCTTCCGCGGTGGAGTAGAACTCTTGGTCGTCGCTTGATTTCTTCATTTTATCAATTCCATCAATCTGGATGTCCATCTTCTCAAGCAGCACTCTTACTTCTTCAGAATGCCTGTCTGTCATCTCCTTTAAAGAAGCTTCCATCTCCTCTTTAGGTTGCGCTGTCATCTGTGTACGAAGCTTCATTTTCTCTCCCTCGTGTTTGGCGATCAATTCTGACATGTCCTTTATCATTTTCATGTTTTCCTCGTTAGATTTTTGCATCTCCAGAAACCGCTCTTCTAAGGCACGATTTTCTTCTATGAAAGCTTCACGTTCCTGCTCGGCCTGCTCCATACGTGCCGCCGTCATGTTTTTCAGTTGTTCTCGCTGTACTTTCATCTCAATTTCCATTTTCTCGCGCCGTCCAGCTCTCTCTTTTTCCAATCTGGCGATCAACATTTCCATCTTTGCAAGAAGGAAAAGAAAGAAAACGCAGTTCGCATCCATAAAAATCACGTTTAAAATAATTCTTTATCTGTATTATTACATCAGCTGTTATTGCAGTTAGCGGCGGTTTGACATACCACCGAGGCGAAAGGGTCCATTCTTCTTTTTTTATTATATTGATGTGTCTCACAAGGACTGGGAACTACTGAATTCACGAATTTGATTGCCTGAAATCGATTTTGACCGCGGTCTAGATTTTCCCATCCAGACTAGCACTGAGACCGTTTACATTTTGCGGCGGGAAAGTTGCAAACTAAAATATAAAGCTTTTGACTATTTTCTTCTAAGAATATTCATTTATGGAAGTGCCAAAAAGCCTGATGAGAAAACAAAAGGAAAGAGGACGAGCAAATTTTTGTAGATTTAAGTTCAGCTCACTGCCGTTCGCAAGCAAAATGTCAGCTAGTACAAACCATATAATAAACATCTTATTAACCGAGCTTAGTCGGTCTGTATGGCAGAATCTTGACCTCGGTCGTGTGTACAGGCCTCACTGAGTTCGGTCTGTGCTCATGACCTCGGTCAAGATACCTCCCATACAGACCTCAAGCCTGGTTAACCCTTTGACTGCCAACGGCGCATGTAGACGCCCTGAGTGGTCGTGCTCTTTGTACCACTTGTGACGTCATCAATTTAAATGTCACCAGATATTCTTGATTAACACATAGTAGAGCTAGAATAGCTCTATCCTGAGATGGCAAATTGAAAAACAACGTTATCAGTTTTGATGCAAAAATGGTGGTAAAATGGCCCATTATACCTATAATTGATCAAGGTCCCATTTCCAGCCTTTGCCCATAATTAACACCCATCTTTTTATGGCAGCCAGAAAGAATATAAAACGTAAAAGGTTGCGAGGGTAAAAGGGCCAAGAAAAAGGAAAGCAAAGGGGCAAGAAAAATTCGGAACGGGCAATGGCAAAAAATAAAAAAACAATATAGTCCAAATTTTGGCTTACGCGCGTGCTCGCTTAGCGTCATGGCAGCCAACAAAACTGATTTAACAGTTCAAAACGGCATTTTTTGTGAAACTTTGGCAGTCAAAGGGTTAATAAGGGCTAAATATTGACCTTTTCGCCTCGTCCGCATGCCTAATTAAACCACAGGCGTCACAAAATGAGCCACTGCTGAAAAGCGACTCGGTAGTTTCATTATGTACGGTGATACAAATTGTACCGCATAATATCGTAAAAGATAGCGGAATGTTCTGTGGTGGGCTTTTCTCGTGGACACACCCTTAAATATGTACAGTTATAACCCATCAAATATTTTCGCTCGCGGGAGTGGTCTAAACGCGTCACGTGTCCTAATATTCCCCAACTAAAACTGGGAAATATCCGAGAATATTCCCCAATTTTCAAAACTGCGTGTGTTGCGGAAAATATTTGAAGGATAATACCCTCCATTTGACGTTGAAAATATGCCTGGATATTTGTCCTTACATGGTCATTATCTGCTTCTCAAAGCTCACAGTTTTCTTCGAGCTACGCACTCGGAAAAGTGTTCGCTTCTCGGAACAGATCATGTCCGGGGACAAATATCCGAGGATATTTTCGCGCCTAATGGAGGCTATTGTTTATATATCACCATATTTAATACGGACATCATTTTAAGCTATTGATGTAGTAGAACTTACACGGGATAAAATACTTTACCTCTTTTTTGTGCTCTTTATTTTCTTGTTGCAAGCATAGTTTTTGCTCCTAATTATAAATAATATTAAATAAAATTTCACAAATATTAATATATAAAAGCAAAGAGATAATGTAACTGTTCAGTTAAATAAATGAGTTTTGGCCTTTCCCAGATATTTCACTAATTGAAAGTTGATCAATGCTAGTGAAATGAGATAATATTTATTTGTGATAATGTTTATATTAAGGCGAGGAAAATATAAAAAAATATTAACAAAACGTGTGAGAAATCATTGATCTAAATCTACGTATACTAGATTACAGACATACTCTTGGGACTAAAATGAACCGCTATTTATTGCTTTACAGTGAGAAATTCAATCCAAGAATTATCTTTTCTTTTTCTTCTGATTTTACCACACTTCAGGAAACGACATTCACACGCGCATGCGCACATAACGTACCTCAAGCCGTCTTCTCTCGCGTTCTTGGTAAGCTTCCACTGCCTTCTCTTTGGCGGCTTTCTCGTCAAAGTTTTTCAGTTGCCTTAGCAGCTCAAGGTGTCGCTTTGTTTCCTTTGCTAGTTCCTATAACAATTTTTCAATAAATGTACGCTGTGAAAAGAATACTCTCTTGTTACGGAAACGCAACTTTTTGCTGCAAAGAAGGAGACACAGAAACGGCCAAAAGATTTCTTTCTGCAACGATGTTACAACTGCATATACGACACAGGGTCTGCATGGGGGTACCGGAATCTCAGTTTATTAGCTCACTTTGGGCGATTTCTCAGCGAGCAGTAAACCTAATTTCAGCCCATTTCACTCCTATTAGTAAATTTTGCCGATCTCAGGTCACAGTGATAAAAAGAAAAAAACCGTGGCGTTACTTCTCAGCTGAAATACTTTGACCAATTCTCTGGGTTACCGGTTGAAACGCATCCAAACCCTCACGATAGTTTCCTGTATAATATGACTGACTCCGTGAGCGGGCAAGATGAACCAAACTGCGCTGTGATTGGCTTTCTGGGCGGCCAAGATGGCGCTATTTTGCCCGCTTGAGATTACGCGCTGTGTCCCTCAGGAAAAAAATTTCCGTTGCCATATAGTAAAGCCTTTAGTGAGTAAGCTTGTTCTGTCAATATGGCTAAATATTGGCCTCGCTCTTTTTCTGGAGCGTGTGTATGAACCTCCACTCCGTGTCAGTCAATAAACACGCAAAAAAAGAACTTCGTCAATATCCAGACACGCTTGGTCAATAGCCCGTGTACATTGCACCTTCCGCAAAGTCGCTCCCCCTCCCCCTATTTCCGTGTACCTGGTGTGATAAAAATAAAACTGAAAACAAAAAAACAAAAAAACAAAAGACTAAAACAGCAACGAAACCCGCTTAAAATAAATGTAATATATATATACACATATATATAACGTGGGAGGAAAAACACAAATAAACTACAAGTTCATCCCTACAAGCCTGTTTCGTGGTTGCCCACTCATCAGGAGAGATATATAAATTTCTTACAGGATGGAAGTCAAAGAATGCTGCGGCNAGGAAAAACACAAATAAACTACAAGTTCATCCCTACAAGCCTGTTTCGTGGTTGCCCACTCATCAGGAGAGATATATAAATTTCTTACAGGATGGAAGTCAAAGAATGCTGCGGCAATAGCATCTTTGGCACCAACTGCGCGTGCGTCATAGTCGTCTTTAATGAGATGGTACACTCCAATAATGTCGTCAAAAGATAATTTGGATCCGTCTCTGCCCTGCAATTGCTGAAGGACTGGATCCAGGTGTTTTCTTTTAAGGTGGAACAGAAGACGTTCGCAGCTTTGTTTTGTCAACTGGGCATTTTCAATCTGCCATTGGTTCAAATGTTTGCTCATTTCGGCCTAGATAAAACAAGCATAATTACATGTAAAGCAAAGTTTGATGCTTTTATCAAAAAAAGAACAATATTCGACTAATTTTTGGTCCTTAGCAGCTGGACTAATGGGAAATATAAGAGTAAATTTTAAAATAGTTTTAAAATGTCCCGACAGAGAGAGAAAATACAGCGTTGAAGAAGCCACTAGTACCGATGAATACTGTAGCAGACCTGGGTTAGCAAGATCATGCTTGCTGGCTAACTGCCCACAGCGATGTTAAACAAGCAATTTTTGTCAGACGCCAAACTCTGATCAGACTGATTAACCTGATTTATAAGCTTTTTTGTACTTAATTTTCGGTGGCTATCTTTAGAGTGAAACGTTCCACTCTGAAGGTAGGCAGAGGGTTTAATCGCCAACAGCTTCAATAACAGACAAAATATATTAAAATTGTGTCACCTTTAGTTCTCTCATATGCCTTTCAACAGTGTTGGTAGAAATCCCACTCGTTTCTGCCATAAACAGGGCTTCACTCTCTTCCAGTGCAGTGTTGTGACACTTACGTAACTCATCATTGTCACAAGGTAGTTTCCCAAACAACAGTGACTTCATTAGCTCGTCGTACTTTCCTTGAGAAACTTGCCTGGCTTCGAAACATTTAGTTTGTACAAACATGTCCCATGCCCATTGTACATTTGGAATGGCATCTGGAGTGTTGATGGCATTGACGTACAAGGTAACCAAAGCAGCGAGACCTAAAATGCAGCAAAAGTTTCTAAACTGAGGAGTCTCTAAGGCTTACTTGGTTATGTATCAGTAACAGATTTGTGGATAATTCGCTGCACTAAATGAAAAGACGACAATCAAGCGAAACAAACCAATAGTCAAGTAAATGATGTAACAAAAAACCCAAAAGTTTTGGCTTGCTCCATAAACTTGCAAAAAAAAAAAATCATTTGACCAGTATGTCACCAATATTAACGTTACCGTGGTTACGCTAGCTCAGTAGCATATACCTCAGGCAAAGTTTTTGATGAAGGTCATGACTTATGCTTTTAAATACTATTTAAATCACTAGTTGTAAAACTTCAAAGATTTGGATTACTTCGTATTTAGAGCTGTATGTCTACTTGAAGGAGAATCAACGCTATAAACTATTGTTCTTGATTCCAAAAAACGAACTTCCAGAAACCAAGAGACAAGTTTCTAGATCCATAGAAAATCAAGTTAAGGTACTCAGTTAAAATAGCACATGCTTGCGAAGTGTTACTAGCAGTGGCCTGCGTACGTGTTACAGACGATTCCAAAACCAAGTGAAACTGACAAGTGTGTAAATTTGAAGAGTTGAAGGGCAGGTAAATCATTTGCTGAGGCTGTAAAATCTTCTCACTGTTTGTTGCTCAGTGTCACCCTAACCTCGTTCCCAGGGTCTCTCTTCTTTTCGTCCCCCACCTCCCCCCGCCCTCCTCCTCTCCTCCCACAACTCTTTCATTTAGTACACCTCAGGAGTTGAGGTACACGTAACCAGAACAAACCAGTGTGTCTGTCTCTTGCTCAAGAGGGCGTGAAGAAGGGAGACCAAAGGACCGATCTTGTTGTTGCCGATTGTCGTGTGCATTGTCTGGGAACAACCATCCTGCTTTTCCAGAAAACTTTCAAAAATCAATTTTCTCATAAGTGAAATAGTAAAAAAGTTAGGAAATTTCCACCTTCGCCAGTTACCAACTCTCCATCAGTGTAGCTGTGTTTTGGGACCAAGGTGGACCTTAGCAAACTCTTGAACTGCTCTAATCCTTTTAAAAATTTGGACTGCAAAAGGGCCTTGTTCTCGTTGAGACTTCTCATTACTTCATCATCAGCAGAAGGAGGAGGCAAAGTGAACGCGTCAAAGCCAGGAAAGAATCGCAAGATGCTCTCAGCAACTTTCTGGCCCTGGCGACCTGGAGCCATCGGTGAATCTTGATCTCTGAAAACCTTCGTAAACAACAGTCACAGAATAATCAAACTACTACTGATAAAACTTCAATCAACCAGCTTTAAATAAGTAATAATTCAAGTCAGTTATTATTAGACTAACCAGTAAGCAAATAAATAACTGGGGTTAAAACACAATTCCAACGCGGAATTTGAGGCAAGAAACACTCTAACTTATCACGAAGCAATGTCTTATGACTTTCTGAAAATAATTCACAGTTATTCCATGAGGACACGAGGTGATAAATACCAAACGTTTGTTATAATCACCTCGAAAAGAACAAGGACGAATGGAGTTATTCTTGTATTAAATTATTCAATCGGCTAGATAATGTGAACATTTCAGTTT